AAACCACATTTCTCATTTTCTCTTTACCACAAAACCTGGTCACACTCTGCTGTGGTTTCTAAGTTACAGCTACTCCAGCCTCATTTTCTTGGATGTACTTCGTCAGAGGTCCTGACCTGGTGCTGACACTCGGTCTATTCTTAGAGTGGCACCTCTAAATATTAATTCCTGTTACCTTCCACTGATTGAAAGACAACATTCAGAAGTAGAGGTTGCATACAACATAAAAGAAAATCCTCTGGGATTTAGAATCCTTCTTTCAAGAGTATCCAGAGGAATATGATCTAAAGAGCTCATAGTCTTGCAGACACACATGCATAGTACAGCTTAGCTACTCATGTTTTACAGCTTATCCAGATTTGCCGGAACAATCATAGGTTTGTTGGAAAACACTAACAGGCGAGGAGTGACAGCACAGGTGAGAGGGCAAGCAGACCCAGACGAGAAAATCAACAGAAAAGCCTTCCACAAACAAGAGTACTTCTATAATTGTTTAAAGGTAAATCTTCCATCATTAAATATATGAAAATCTTTCCCCAATTGATATGGTTCAGTTGGTGGGAACATCATCCCGTGCACCAAAGGGTCTCGGGTTTGATTCCCAGTCAGGGTACATACCCAGCTTGCGGGTTTTGGAGTGCATATGGGAGGCAACTGATCAATGTTTCTCTCTCCCATTTATGTTTCTCTCTCTCTCCCCGCCCTCTCTCTCTCTCTCTCTCTCTCTCTCTCTCCTCTCTCTCTCTCTCTCTCTCTCCCTCTCTCTCTCTTTCTCTTTCTCTCTCTCTCTCTCTCTCTCTCTCTCTCTCTCTCTCTCTCCTCCCTCCCTCCCTCCCTCCCTCCCTCCCTCTCTCTCTCCAATAAAAAACATATTCTCGGGTGAGGATTAAAAAAAAAAAAGGGTATTGCCCTAGCCAATTTGGCTTAGTGAATAAAAGGTTGGCCTGCTAACTAAAGGGGCCCAGGTTCGATTTCCGTCAGGGGCATGTACCTAGGCAGGCTCCTCCCTAGCCCGAGCCCAGGTGAGGGCTTGTGTAGGAAGCAACCAATGGATGTGTTTCTCTCACATTGATATTTCTCTCTCTTCCACTCTCCTTAAAAATCAATGGGAAAATATCCTCGAGTGAGGATTAACAAAACAAAACAAAAAAGAGTATGAAAATCTCAGTGTGTGAACTTGAAACTGAGAGATGGAAGTGTTTGGTTAACATATTTTTAAAAAGTGTTTCCTATTGTGTAGAATCAGCTCCAGTTGTATACCCCAATACTAAATATTAAAATGGCAATGACCTAAAGTCACCAGATAAGACTATGTAATAGTTCATAAGGGAAAATTAAAATAATTTAGAAAGTATAGCTAGAAGAGACCTCAAAATTAGTTAGGCCTCCAGCAAGATTAGGCAGTATAGTGACTGGGAGACAGAAGAGAATACTACTTTTATAATACCACAAACAGGATTTCATCCTAACTCTGTGTCTTACTCGCTTGTGAACTTAAAAAGCTATTTTAACCTTCCTGAGTTTGTTTCCTCATCTATAAAATAGAGATAATAATGGTTCAAAGAATTATAGTGGCTGAGATATAGCATGAGTTTCATAAAAAATGTCTATTATAAAATATAATTACTATATTATTATTGGCGTGTAAGACTTTATTACATCCTTTTCATAGATGAAGTAACTAAAGCTCAGAAAATTTCAGAAATTTGACCAAGATTATAAAGCAAGGACTTATAAGAATTAGGATCCCTGCTTCCTAGGGCAGTGTTCTTTTCACTTCATCATGTTTCTATGAATCAATATAATAAGGAGGCCTAAAAAAGAAGGCTTTTCACTAAATAAAATTCACAAATCAAAGCAAAATCGTAGCCTCTACTGATCCAGGTCTTGTCCACAAAATACTAATTCCTATTCCAGCAGGCTTCCACATCTTTCAAGTTTTGTTGTTTTTTTAAGGATTTTGGAACTTTGATAGTTGTTCACTTCCCAAAATAACTTGGCTCAGGCCAATAAGGTATCTCAGAGTTACAGAAGTCTCAGGTATGTGCCATTCACATACATTATGTAGTTTCAGTTTCCTGACGACAAGAAACACATCACTCGGCAACTAGCTTTCCATCGCCCTGTGGAAAATCTTGAGTCTTTCAACAGTTTATTGGCAGATAAAAGCTACAATCAATAGCATCTGAAGGGTGTAAGTTTCACCACTGACTCTCCAGAGTTCAGGATCAGTGACACAGACCAGTAGGTTCACTTTTGAGTGCTATACACATGGTATGCAGCTTCTTAAATGACAAATGTAGAGCTTTATAAAAAAGAATCAGCCCTGATAGGTTTGGCTCAGTGAATAGAGCGTCAGCCTAGGGACTGAAGGGTCCCGGGTTCGATTCTGGTCAAGGGCATGTACCTTGGTTGCGGGCGCAACTGGGGATGCGCCAGAGGCAGCTGATCGATGTTTCTCTCTCACCGATGCTTCTGACTCTCTATCCCTCTCCCATCCTCTCTGTAAAAAAATCAATAAAATATATATTAAAAAGAAAAAGAAAAAAAAAAAGAATCAACAGCTCGCCGGCATGGCTTGATGGTTGAGCATCAATCTATGGGCCAGGAGATCGAGATTCGATTCCTAGTCAGGGCACATGCCCAAGTTGCAAGTTCAGCCCCCAGTACGAAATATGCAGGAGGCAGCTAATCAATGATTATCTCTCATCATTGATGTTTCTATCTCTTTCTTTCTCCCTTCCTCTCTGAATTCATAAAAAATAAATAAAAAGAAAAAAAGAATCAACAAAAAAGAGATATTCTTTATTTTTAACAAGATCAAGAATAAGAGCATAATATGCAATAACAAACTATAGATATAGCTGTTGATTCAACATGTACCAATATCTATTAGTTGCTAAGCATTGTTGCAGGCACTAGGAATACAAAGATGAAGAAGAATTGATGCCTACCCTCAAGGAACCAGTATAACAGGGAAAAGACTTATAAAGGAGATGAGGGTGGGGGAGTAAATTTTAAAAAAAAAGAAAAAAGGAAGAAGCATTGCCCCAGAAGAATCATATTTCACTTGGCAAGGAGCCTTAAGGGTGCCGGTACAGATTAAATGGCCTAGAAACAACTCCTAGGCTCATCAGTTCTGTAAAAGCAAGCAAGACTATTCAATCTTAGTCTTTATTCCCTGCCCATCTCCTTTGCTTACCACATCACGAGAACAATTGAGATTTCCTTTCTCTATTTTATCCTCCTTAGAAGACTGGGAAAGGGACTGGCTCTGCTCCTGGAAAGCCTGTTTTTCCCAGAAACGAAATTTCAATCCATGAGAAATCTAGATTTTACTTGTGTGACCTATTATTCAGCAAAAGAGTTTGGGAGAGTCAAGAATTCCCCTAGCCTGGCTAGAGTGGCTCAGTTGATTGTCCATCGTCCTGTGCACTGCAAGGTTGCTGGTTCGATCCCCCGTCAGGGCACATACATAAGGCAACAGATCTATAGTTCTCTTTCTCTCTCTCTCTCTCTCTCTCTCTCTCTCTCTCTCTCTCTCTCTCTCTCTCTCTCCTCTCCTTCCCTCCCTCCCTCCCTCCCTCCCTCCCTCCCTCCCTCCCTCCTCCCCACTTCCTCTCTCCAAGCTAGTCCTAACAACACACCATTAGAACAGTTGTCTGATCTCCAAGGAACCTCTGGAGAAAAGAAAGAAAAAATCTGTTTTCAAGGAAGAGTTCATGATTCACCTTAAATAGAAACCTGTAAGAGGTAATTCTTCCTTTCTCAGAATGCTCCCAAAAAATTAGAACAAAAGGAAAGAGACTTCAAATGATTATATAAATATATGTCATATCAGTAATAAAAATAATGCTTTGTATTTCTTTAACAAATCCTTTCATGATGACCAAACAGTTTTTTTTTTTTTTAAAGGTTTTTTTTTTTTTTTTTTTTTTTAAATATATTTCATTGATTTTTTACAGAGAGGAAGGGAGAGAGATAGAGAGTTAGAAACATCGATGAGAGAGAAACATCGATCAGCTGCCTCCTGCACATCTCCTACTGGGGATATGCCCGCAACCCAGGTACATGCCCCTGACCGGAATCAAACCTGGGACCCTTCAGTCCGCAGGCCGACGCTCTATCCACTGAGCCAAACCGGCTTCGGCATGACCAAACAGTTTTAAAGTGATTACCCGATTCAGCGTAAAAACATTATCGATGCTAAAAAAAAAAATAAAAATAGCAAGGCCGGGGAGTGTTGGGGGGTGGTAAGCGATCAACCGAAGGACTTGTATGCATGCATATAAGCATAACCAATGGATACAAGACACGGGGGGGTAGGGGAGGCCGGGGAAGGTCAAGGGGAAAAAAAAAAAAAGGAGACATATGTAATACTCTTTGTAATACTTTAAGCAATAAAACAAAATTAAAAAAATAAATAAAAATACAATGAGATATCAAAAAAAATAGCAATCATTTTGACTTTTACATACTCCAAGCACACTATACAAAGAAGTATAACCCTTCAAAGATATAATCTATGATGTCCTGCCTTTAGAAATACTCTTAAATAATTACATGATTGAGACAGCATCCCACAGAAAGAAAACTGCAAGGGAACAGGATCCTAAACATTTCAATGAAAAAACCAGCCACGAAAAACACAGGCTAAAGGTACACTTACTAAAAGAAATCAGAGTGAATATCTTGAATTACGTAGAAGGTTAAAAATTATAAGAGGGACCTAAAGAAACAGATCTAATAAATCAAACAAGCAGTTGCTGAGCTTCTGTAGTCATGACCATCATGAAACTTATCACTAGTTAAAACTTAAAACTAGTTGCTCCAAGGTCATGTTCCAAAACATGTTTGGGCAGCCCTGGACCAGCTACCAAAACTGAGCATTCACTGCCACCTCATAATCAGCCTTGTCCTGCTCTCTTCTTCATGTACCTTGCCTGCTTCCAAGTGCCTTCTCTGGGCTCACACTATTGGCAAAGCATTCACGTACTTACTATTCAGTGAAGAACCTGGCAATACCATATTGGCTAACATCTTCCTTATTTTCTAGCAGCTGGCACACTGCATCCTCCATGTACGTGAGGACATGTCGCTGAGCTACCAAAAAAACAAAAGAGAGAAAAGTGAGAGAGAAAAGTAAAAAATAAAAGTCCTCCCAATCCAAATAGGAGGCCATGAAAGTCAGTCAAGGTATTGCCTCTACTCTAGGAAATGGATTGAAATAGGCTAACCAAACTTATTGGCCTTAATGGACCAATGGTTCCAAAGGGTAGAATTGGACATGATGTAGCACATGACATACTGCCATCTGGTTGGCTGTTAGTATTTACATCAACGCTTCATTTCAGTGGTGAGGGAGAGCTATAGAGGAGCTTTAGCACCATTAAGCAGATATATCTGTAAGTTCTTTTCTTCCCATTTCCTTCCACCCGCTTTCATTTTCTGTATGTCTCCAAACTTATTCCAGGGAAGAGTGCCTAAAGCATAAATGATCTGATTGCAAAGAAAATTCCTTTTTTTTCTTTTCTTTTCTCCTCACCTGAGGATATTTTTTCCATTGATTTTTAGAGAGAGTGGGAGAGAGAGAGAGAGAAAGAGAAATATCAACATGAGAGAAACACATCAATTGGTTGCCTCCTGCACACGCCCTGACCACGACCCAGGCGGGGGAGGAGCTTGCAGCTGAGGTACTTGCCCTAGATGGGAATTAAACCTAGGACCCTTTGGTCCAGAGGCTGATGCTCTATCCACTGAACCAAACTGGCTAGGGCAAGAAAACTCAATTCTTTAATAAAAAATTAGAAAAGTTTAAGGATCGTGTAAACTAGTGTTATAAACTATTAACCTTGGAAAATAATAAATGAAATCTGTGTGGTTCAATTTATCAGAAGTTATGTTTTCTGCATTTATTGTGACTGTTAAATATGCAGATTAATCATGGACTTCTCAGAAAGGGTCTGAGTATTAAATTTAGAAAGAAATGTGTTTTGATTCACGGCTCTGTCTTTGGTAGATTAATCTTAGTTATTTAATCTGCACCTATGTGGAAAGAAACTTAACTTTTTCTCAAAAGATGGTCAACTTGTTGATCTGAAACATCTGAGATACCCTGTTAAATGCAGATTTATAAACTGGCACCATCCCAGACTTAGTGACCTTATATTTCTAACTGAAGCCCAGTAATTTTTAAAAAGTACCCATGATGCTTTTTACATATGGTGAAGTTTAAGAATCACTGGTTAAGCCCAGCCAGCACGGGTCAGTGGTTGAGCATCGACCTATGAACCAGAAGGTCATGGTTTGATTCTCAGTCAGGTCACATACCTGGGTTGCAGGCTCCCAGTGTGGGGCGTGTAGGAGGCAGGCGATCAACGATTCTCCCTCATCACTCTCTCTCTCTCCCTCTCCCTTCCTCTCTGAAATCAATAAAAATATATATATATATATTTTTTTAAAAATCACCGGTTAAAAACATGGGCTTTGGAGTTTAGAAAGACCTGAGTTCCATTTTCGGCTCTACCAATTCTTAGCTGTATGATCTTGAGCAAGTTACTCTCCAAGCCTATTTCCTCATGTAAAAAGTGGATAATAATACTATTACTGTTTGTAATGACACTATTATTAGTACCTACACATCATCTACTTATATAAAAACCATGGCTGGTGTTCACCACATACAGACGAACAGTTGCCACCGAGCGAAGGAAATCAGTCCTACAGGGGTTGTCTTGGCAACGGCTGCGCCCTCCCCCAAGCTGTTTCCCGGAGCTGTTTCCTGTAAGGGCGGAGTTTGAGGCAGGAACCCACCCTGGGAGCCTAGAGGCAGATCTTTCTAAAGTGTGCTGCGCCAGCACGGGGTGAACCTGAGTGGGGAGGCTTGAAAGGCTTAGAAAAGACAGACCAGAGAATGAAAGCCAGGTCTTGGTGAGACGCTGCTTCTCTGAGAGACAGTGACCACGCCCACAGCCATGCCTTTATTTTATAGCAAATGCTGGGAGGCAAAGAAAGGGTGTGACCAAGATGTTTACAAACATTCTCCTGGGTTTCAATCCTACTCAACTACATGCACCTGAACTCTATCAAGCCCACATCACTCAGGCACGTGGGGCCACGTGTTTGAACCATAGGTTCAAGCTTACAACTCTAGCTGTTGGCTATAATTGTGCTGAGAGGGCCCTGCCCTCCAAGCTGGGACTTGCACATGGCAATGAGAGGACTGTGCCCTCTCATCAGTCCAAGGCTTGAACCTGTCCAAAACACTGTAGCGGCTCCCCACAATGAAGTTTTAATTCTGTTTCTTTGTTACTAATGTTGTGGCCCCACCCCATAACAAAGAAACAAAGGAAAATTTCCCCATCGAATTTCTGAATAGTATTACTCCTTCAGGAATGCCATGTCATAAATTAAAATTGAAAGCGGGTGCAATCATCATGCTATTGAGAAATCTCAATAGTAAATGGGGTCTTTGTAATGGTACCAGATTTATTATCAAAAGATTACGACCTAACATTATCGAAGCTGAAGTATTAACAGGATCTGCAGAGGGAGAGGCTGTTCTGATTCCAAGAATTAATTTGTCCCCACCTGACACTGGCCTCCCATTTAAATTGATTCGACGACGGTTCCCCGTGATGCCAGCATTTGTGATGACTATTAATAAATCACAAGGACAAACTCTAGACAGAGCAGGCATGTTCCTACCTGAACCCATTTTTGCACATGGTCAGTTATATGTTGCTTTCTCTCGAGTTTGAAGAGCATGTGATGTTACAGTTAAAGTTCTAAGTACTTCATCACAAGGGAAATTAGTCAAGCACTCTGAAAGTGTTTTCACTCTTAATGTAGTGTACAGGGAGATATCAGAATAAGTTTAATCACTTTATCAGTCATTGTTTGCATCACTGTTGTTTTTATATCATGTTTTTGTTGTTTTCATATCATGTTTTTGTCATTTTTATATCATGCCTCTGTTGTTGTTATATCCTTTTGTTACTGTTTATTTATTAATAAATCTATATATTATTTTCATATACATTTTACTAATTTCCTTTCATCTCTCACACTTCTATTATAGAGAAGGGCAAATAGCAATATTAAAATATCTCTGCTAATTAATTCCCTTTTTTAAAAAATATATTTTATTGATTTTTTACAGAGAGGAATAGAGAGTTAGAAACATCGATGAGAGAGAAACATCAATCAGCTGCCTCCTGCACACTCCCCACTGGGGATGTGCCCGCAACCAAGGTACATGTCCTTGACCGGAATCGAACCTGGGACCCTTGAGTCCGCAGGCCGATGCTCTATCCACTGAGCCAAACCAGTTAGGGCAATTAATTCCCTTTTAATGTGCACGAATTTCGTGCACCCGGCTACTAGTAGGATTATAAGAATAAAATAAGGTAATGCATGTAAAACACCAGAGTCCTTGGCTTGCTTGATAATGTATTTTCTTAAAAGCCCATCTCAAAGGGCTATTGAGGGTCTACTTCAGTAAACAACAAAGGCCAGAGCTTCAGAGATAGTCGGTGCTCAACAAATGACTATTCCTCCTCCTGAATTGAATCTTTAGAGGTATGAGAATGGTATCGAGGCACACTTCACGTAAAAACTTCCAACTCAGTGTTTTCCACTTACCATCCAAAAACATTTTTTTTTAATCACAACTTTCTTTTGGAATAGTGAGAATAAAAAACCCCAAAGTGATGAATATCCTGACAAAACACCATTCCACAAAATTGCTGCCATGACGGACATCTGCCTCTTTCATAGTTTTATCCTTCAAGAAAATATGGATAAATTACCTAAAATTAATAAAAATGAGTATTTCACAAAACTATCCCTAAAATCCTGGTGGTCCAGTAACACTTATGAAGCAAACAAGCTTATCTACCCAAGCTCTACTCTGGGAGTCTTCCTTTAACAACGGTGACCTAGGCTCCACCACACATGCACCAGCCTAAAGTCCACATGAAAGACATGTTTACATTCTGTTACTTATTCTGTTCATTTAAGTGCTCCCCAAAACTAACAACCATCAATCACTGCAAAGGTTCTCCAGCCCCCACCCCCAAAAGGTGTGAAGACAAAATCAGTGCTTTATCAACAGTTTCCAGTGGAAAACGACTTCTCTAAGAAATGGGAAAACTGAATGAAGCTGTGAGATAATACATGCCAATTCTGGTATTGTTTTATAATTAAGTATATATTAAATTGAGAGAAGAAACAGCCAAGCTAACATTAAAATCAGCTATATTTTCACTTCTGTATCCTCCTTCCCTTCTCCCACCCACTTATCCTGACCCTACAAAAATATTTCTTCCTTAGTCTATTTGGGCTTCTATGACTTAGATCTACCTACCTAAGGCTAGTACAGGATTTTTTTAAATGGTAGAAATGAAAGCGCTCTGCCGTACTTAGAAGCAAATCATGCTACTGCTCCCTAGCTCCTACGGCACAAGTAAGTGTGAAAGCCCTTTAAGGGAGGAATGTTTGAACCAAAGTACTTTTATTCTCCTAGAAAGACAGAAGGAATTTTCTGGAAAACAAACTATTTTTTTAAAAAGAGAGGGGGGTGGGGGAGGCCAGGGGATAGTCAAGGGCAGGGGAAAAAAAAAAGACACATATGTAATACCCTTTGTAATACTTTAAGCAATAAAATAAATAAATAAATAAATAAATAAATAAATAAAATAAATAAATAAAATAATAAAAAAGAGAGGGGAAGAGAAAGAAAGAAAAATAAAGGACTATACCTGCTTAATCTACAAATCAGATGGTTAGAGTTTAATATAATAATGATAATAATAACAGCTACCAATTTTGAGCACCTGTGAAACTTACTGAACAACAATGTGCCAGATACTGGGCTAATAATTTTACATGCATTATTTTATTTAGTCTTCTCAACAATCCTATGATAGGTGTTTTGATTATTTCCATTTTACAAATGGAAGAACTGAGATTTATAAAATTAAAGTAACTTGCTCAAGCTCATGCAGCTAGTAAAAGAGAGGCCAAGATTCAAACCAAAGTTTGCGTCTTACCAAGAACCCATGCTCTTAACTCCATACCATACTAACTCACCATTGACATTT